CACTCACCTTCCCAATATAACTTGGATTCCACATAGAACTGGCAGGCTATATTCCCTGCATTCCTGAGTAGAAGAAAGACCAAAGATGGAGAGAGGCAGCCTTTTGTTTCCTTGGTTCCCTTTGTTATCCATCTTGCCTTCCTTGGACCCACATAAGCCACCCCAAGACTTTACTGCAGCCAACTGCCCCAGAAGGACAGACAAGCAAGAGACAATTATCAGTATCACCTCAGATACCCCCTCCCCCCTACAACAATGCTGTCTCTTCCTCCTGATCTTCCCTCACCACTTTATATTTCTTAGTCCAAAAGAACCTTTGAGAGTTTCTAAATCAGCCATCCTAAGGACCTTCCTTTATTTGCCCATCTCAACCTATTCCTATCTCTTCTCCCTTGAGCAATTGGTGATTATCTTTCCAATTGGCAAGTACTGTTTAGTGAGAAGGGAAAATGAATCTAGGAGAATCTACCAGTCACTTTTGTTAACTTATCCTATATTAATACCTTTAAGGCCAGCTTTATTACTGAGATTTGGCTAATTGGAACAGTAAATTTTAGGCCAGTATACTTTTCTACCCACTTAAGGACTAGCGGATTGTGCATTAATGCAGTTGCAACTGCAACAGAATCTATCCTTAACCAAGTAGAAAAGGTGTAGAGAATAATGGACTTCCAATGAAGTTCAATCCTTGGCTCTGAACTCCTTCTCATTTTTTAAAATTAACAGCTGGGATGAAATGGGGAGGGAATGTCTCTCAAACTTACAAATGATAGAAATGGGTGGCCAAGTCAGAAATAAAACTTGAAGTCAACAGACTAAAATGTACCATGCAAATGCAAAATTATTCACTTAAGACACTGAAATCATTGGGGGCTCCTTGGCTTGGCAATAACATACCTAAAACAGGCCTTGGATTAATAGTTGATTGTAAGATGGACATGAGTCATCAGCATATTGTGGCAGCAAAGAATTTCCATCTTTGGGTTTATCAATCCATTATCAGAAATATAATTTTAAATTGCTGAAAGAAATCACTCCATTTTATTCTACTGTGATCAGATTCAAGCAATTTGTCCACTTTTTGTCCAGTGACAAAATGGATTCAAGTGGGAAAAGCTTCAGAGAAAGACACAGGAATGATCAGGAGTTTGGCCTTTGTCCAATCTTTTCTATATCACTTCTTGTCTTCTGGGTGTTTCATCAGTTTTGTAAACAATTTTGTCAATGATTTCAAAGTTGCAATTTTGGGACTTGCCCCAATATTCAAGAATGATCAAAATTTATAGACAAAAGCATTAACCAAAATGATTTTATGCTAGTAGGTAACATGTGGCCACATGAGAGGAAAACTTCATTGGTACACTGCTGCTTAAACACGTTCTGTGGCCGATTACAATTTAATCACTATACTAACTAAAGGGGCACCTTGAGCGATCTCCAATAAACACACTATTCTAGGTAAACCTCTGTGTACCAAAGAGGGCAAACATGACCAGATCTACAAAGGCTTGAGAGATTTGAGATTTTTGAGATTTTATTAATATTTGTAGGCCGCCCTTTTCCCTGAGGGGACTCAGGGCGGCTCACATAAAATCNCATTGAAACACAGTTTAATTTAATTCCACCACATCTTTTTTCCCTCTTCTTCCCACAGTGTGATGATCTTTTTGCCTTTTGCTTCCTATTCTTGAAGCCTGGTGACTGTTGCTTGCGGACATTACTCACCACATTGTCCTGGAAAACTCTGCATCTAATGCAGTGTTTCTCAACCTTGGCGACTTTAAGCCCTGTGGACTTTAACTCCCAGAATCCCCCAGCCAGGGCTTAAAGTCGCCAAGGTTGAGAAACACTGCATTAGATGCAGAGTTTTCCAGGACAATGTGGTGAGTAATGTCCGCAAGCAACAGTCACCAGGCTTCAAGAATAGGAAGCAAAAGGCAAAAAGATCATCACACTGTGGGAAGAAGAGGGAAAAAAGATGTGGTGGAATTAAATTAAACTGTGTTTCAATGTTTACAACAAGCAATCAACTGTTTTAGGGGCTCCAACCTAGTGTGAGATAAAAACATTTATCTTGCCTTCAGGAATATGAGTTTTCAGCTGAATTCAGGCTTTAAGCACCTCATCAAACCACGGCAACTTGACAATTTGGGAACTACTGCTGAGTTTTTGTTAGAAAGACGGAGAGAAACCTCCATTATATTATCAAATTGGCCAAATTCTCCTCAAGGCAGTTTAATCTTTTTTTATTATTATTATTTATTATAGTGCATAATACATTATATAATGCCTTATAAATATGTATAGTGAAGCACAGTGGTACCCGAGAGAAAACATGGTTTTAAAATAATGGGTAGTAAGGGAGGCGATATAAATCTATAACCTGCCCAGGCAGAATGTTTGAGTAGGTGAGAAAACAAAACCAAATGTAATGCATCAGAAGATAGACAAGATTTCCCAAGTGAACTTTAATAATCTCTTCTTGGAAAATACAAAAAATAAAATAAAAAATGTCAGGGCATATCTGTACCATGCACTGTCCAGAGCCAAAATAATAAAATCTTAATTGCTGCGGACAGAGACCTAAACATAAATATATATAAAACAATCAGTCAGACCCATATCTGAATATGGGTTGAATCATGCACAACATTTGACATATCTACCCTATTTTTCCAGGTCTCTGGAGAATCCATGTTGTCACTCTACACTCTGAGAAACACTGGAAGCTTAATAAATAAATTACAAGATTCCCCAATGTATGCTGCTTATAAATCCACTCTAGCCAACCTGATCTCAGCAACAGGAACCGAAAATAAGGCTTATGTTATGCTTCCACATTTGCAAAAAAACAGTGTCAAATGATGAACAAAATTCATAAACAGAACAGATAACCAAGAAAATAAACAGCTCAGTGTCCAAACGTTATTCCAACCTTCCTGAAGTTAAGCAAGTATAAACTTGCTTAAAGATCTGAACGGGAAATTCAGAGCCTTGTATAGGAACAATATATGCATCAAATAAATATTTTACAATTCACTGCAAATATATTCCTACCTGCTCTTCAGACACTGTACTCAAACTGTGTCCCAGTCCTATGGACATATCTATTTTTCTGTCATGATTGAGGCAGGCTACGAGAGTCCCAAGATTAGGAAATCGAATTGTGTTGGGTTTTCATAAATCGTATTTTTTGGAGTATAAGACGCACCTTCTCCCCCCCCCAAAAAGGGTGAAAATCTGGGTGCGTCTTATACATTGAAAACAACATTTTTGGCCTCCTGAAACCCCGCCCCTTGGCAAAAATGGACATGCAGAGGGTTTGGGAGTCCTGCAAAGTGTTTCTGGGGGCTGGGGAGGCAATTTTTTGCTCATTTTTGCCCCCCCAGCCCCCAGAAGCATTTTGCAGGCCTCTCAAACTCTTCATGCCCCATTTTTCACAAAAAAACGAGGTGTGCAGAGGGTTTGGGAGGCCTGCAGAGTGCAAAAACATTTTTTAAATTTACCTCTTTAAAATCTTGGTGCGTCTTATACTCCGGTGCTTCTTATACTCTGAAAAATACGGTAATTAAACATTTCTCTGATAAGCTGTTTCCCTCCTAAATTTAACCAAGGAGGTAAAATAATCCAAACTTCACACTGAAGTTTGATGGAAACTTCATTAGACTAATATTAAAGGTATTAGTTTACAAGGAATCCCAGTCACCTGACATAAATACCAGGGGAAAGAAGGGGGGGGGAGAGAAACGTGACATTTAAACTACATCTTCTTTTTCTTTCTTTTTTCTTTTTCTTTCTTATTGTTTACTTAATTAATCTATCAAATTTATTTGCTGCCCATTTAGGGTTGACTCTTTCTTAAACTTAAAAGTACCACTCATACATTTCCTTAACTTTTTTCCAGTATTGGTCATCTTGGCTGTTAAACAAAGTACATGAATCCAGTCACAAACTAACCTAACANTAGTTTATTGGTCATATCAAGAGACAACAAAGTGTAAACTAACAGAAGGATAAAGTTAGGCATAAAATATAAAGTATGGAACAAAGAAAATTCAGATAAGTGCATCACCTTTATTGTATATTTGACCTCAGTCTATTCTATATAATGAGCTCTCAGCTGAATAGCTTTAATTATAAACTTGGTAATTCTGCTGGCTGGCTATATATTTATTGACATCCTGTTGTTGAGATTCTAATAGGTACTTTAGTCAAGTAAATATTCTAAATACTGGGTCCTTGTTGGGGCAAATAATTGGCATTCAAATAAGATATGTACAATGCCTTTGATATCTGGGGCTAGAGATCAAGTATCGATAAGGGAATCTTCAATTAAATTTTCCTTCTCTGGTTCAGCACTTCCTTGAAGCTGTATCTGTTCCAATGTATACTTGTGCCTTTCTTGCATTTTGAATGTAAAAGATCTGATTGATATAAAGTGGGGTTTTATAAAATTGCTGGTCTTCCGTTTAATGGGCTATTATATTAGTTCAGCAGCTTCCAGCATAACTATCATATAGAGAGAGATGGGGGCAGGGGAGGAGAGCATAATAGGAAAGGAAATAAGTGGAAGGAGAAGAATAGAGACTAGACAAAACCTTAAAAGAGAAATACTGCAATAGAAATTTATTTGTATTAAAAAGTTAGCCGAAATACAAAATGGATTATTTCTGAGCTATGCATGCATTGCAAACTGCTGGTTTAAAATCATAAATGGCCAGTTCTACTTTTCAATTTGTAAAATGCAAATGATTTCCCTCTCCATATCCAGTTTAAAATTATGCTCCCTTTCATTATTTAGGAAATGAAGCTTCTATTAATTTTAGTTCCATCTGACAGATATATGTAGCTAGAAAATGTGATTAATTGTACTTTGTGAGCAGCCTCTTTCAACACAGTGCCCAGTAAAATAGAGCTGGAGTGCAAATTTCATATGGAATTATACTGCTAACATAGAAAATATTTGTATGTGACTGGATTTCAAATGTTTTTTTTTACAGACTTCCCTGCTGTGAACTGGGTCATTCAGGTTGACTGTCCAGAAGATGCAAATACATATATTCACAGAGTTGGGAGAACAGCCAGGTATATAGAGTTTTTATGTTCTATGGAGTGTCTTGCCCTAACTTGATGTCCTCTGATTCTGTTGCTCCATCTTCCAGGTTTAGCCAGCCAAGTTAGCTAATAGTTGTGGACATTGTATTCCCAATATCTAGAATATATTGAAGAAAGCTTTTCAATGTTAAAATAAAACTATTAAGGTTAGCCCTGTTATTACATTAAATGTAAAGGTTCCCCTTGTACATATGTGCTAGTCATTCCTGGCTCTAGGGGGCAGGGCTCATCTCTGTTTCAAAGCCGAAGAGCCAGCGCTGTCCGAAGATGTCTTCGTGGTCATGTGACCGAAATGACTAAATGCCAAAAGTGCACAGAACGCTGTTACCTTCCCACCAAAAGTGGTTCCTATTTTTCTACTTGCATTTTTACATGCTTTTGAACTGCTAGNTTGTTTTGCTGATGAATCCTGAGGCTGGAGAGCACACTCAGGATTATATAACACAATCACATTATTTATCAATAACAGTTATTTACCAAGTTAATTAGCCAACAAAGAGAAATTTGGGGTATAGATAGAGGCAAATACTCCAACTGGACTTCTTCAGATATCTTTGTGTTGCAGTCAATGAAATGGATGCTTTGTTTATAAATCGGCCAAGCATATAATAGTAAATATTGCCATCCAAACATTTTATTCTTCTGAGAGGAAAGGAAGATTTTTTTCCTGGTTAGATGCCTTGTAACCCTTTAAATAAGCACTTGGCTTATGAATGAGATGCCTTTAGATCAAAGGGTGGGGTTCATTTATAAAAAAAGGGCTACTATTTTGGGAATAACTAAATTGTTTAAAACAGCATCAACTCTGTTGGATGTAGCTATAAATCTGTCACTCACTGAAAAGATTATGGTGACAAGAGGCCTGGCAATTGATTACCATGCAAATTGCTGTGAAATTGACGAAAGGAGGTATGTTCAGGGGCAGAAACAGGTAAATTAGTTGAATTAAATGAGCACGAGACTTCAGAATTGTAAATTCTAATCATGCTCCTGGGTTTGCCATAGCATTCACTTTTAGAAAAGATAGTGGTTTGGTTATAACTCCCATGGCAAATTTGCGAAAATTGCTGCAGGATAAAAATGATGTGAAACTTCCAGGAGGAAAGGATATTTTTCTGTTTTTTTTCCCCTCGTGGGAGACATGAAACCTTAGCATGCCTTTTCCTCCGATTTTTTTCCCTCCATTTTGCAAATCTCTTAAGTTTTCCATTTGCAACATTTGTATCCCTGCCTCTAGCTAGCTGAGATAACAAAGGTAGCTCTTCCACATGTTTTAAACTAGTACTAGAGAAAGCTGCTTCTTCCTAAGCATTCAATTATATGTTGTCTTTTGGGATATCTTTTAACATCCCAATCTAGCCCACCACCCTGGGTTTTTTCGTCCATGGTATTGTCAACCAGGTCTGATCCTGTTTAGCTTTTCTACCTCAGCCAAGACTGGTTAGGCCAGGGCTGTCAAACTCACGGCCCTCATACGTCATTTGCTGGCCACGCCCACGCCCGGTTTAGCGAAGGGGAAAAAAAGTCTTGATATATCACGTGATGCTGCCGTGACGCAGTGTGTTTGGCACCGCTGGGTTAGGCAGTGCTAGCCTACAATGTAATACATATGTACAGTCAACTAGTCTTGCTCATAGAATTTAGTGTTAAAATTATGATTGGTTTCTAGGTTCAGTATTTGTTTAGAGTATTTTGTCGCCTGCGTCCGGGTGTCCCTATACTGGCTCTTCATGGGAAACAGCAGCAGATGAAAAGAATGGAAGTTTACCACGATTTTTTGCGCAAGAAATCGGCAGTTCTTTTCGCTACGGATCTTGCAGCTCGTGGGCTAGGTAAACAGTTTTGCATTCCTTCACATCCAGGGGAGTTACCTAATCGGTTTGGCCCAGTTCTTGAAAATCATTTGTTAAATTATGTAATCATTTAAGGAAGAGTCTAAGATTGAGTGGGGAATTCATGTTCTCCAGCAGCAGACCTGGGATGCTAGTCTTTATCTTTTCATTGCCTGTTTCCCCCCCCTGCTACTTCCTCCAGAGTCATATCACCATTGCTTCAAGTCCTGCTGTAGCTCAGGAATGAGACTAGTCTAATTTCCCTGCTAAGTTAAGATCCAGGTCAGAATCCAGGAAGCCAGCCAAGCGAGAGGAGGGATATGAGGGACTAGGAAAGAACAGAACCACATGTTCCCTAATTCAGATAGCACCTTGTCCACATTTCTATAGGTTTAGGATTTGTATTTATTGATTTTTTCCAATCATGCATCCCCCAAGTGACAATGGACTTCAGTTTCTATAATCTTTCTATAATCTCTGGTCAGGATGATCAGATTTGTTTAGTGATCTATGAACTATTACTTTGGAACGAGCTCCCCGTGGAGATTCGGACCCTCNTAAGAAGCTGGTTCCACGGGCTCCCAGCGCTTTTTTCGTCAGGTCGTCTACGACGAAGGAGCCCTGGCCGCCATTCCGATTCCCGCACATGCGCAAAAGGCAGCATTAGTATGAGCTCCTTCCTATTTACAAGCCAAAGCATCCTAAACCTGCAGTGCACTGTTAGCATGTTACTAGTTCAGATGAACATTGATGTGCTGTTAAATAAAAAGATAGCATGCAAAGAGGTCTTAGAAAGAAGCTAAGATGATTAGGGGACTGAGGCTAAAATACATAAAGAATGGTTGCAGGGATTGGGTATGTCTAGTTTAATGAAAAGAAAGACTAGGGGAGACATAGCAGTGTTCCAATATCTCAGGGGTTGCCACAAAGAAGAGGGAGTCAAACTATTCTCCAAAGCATCTGAAGGTAGGACAAAAGCAATGAATGAAAACTAATCAAGGAGAGAAGCAACATAGAACTAAGGACAAATTTCCTGAAAATTAGAACAATTAATTAGTGGAACAACTTGCCTCCAGAAGTTGTGATTGCTCCAACATTGGACATTGTTAACAAGAGATTTGTCCGAAATGGTATAGGATTTCCTGCCTGAGCAGGGGGCTGGATTAGAAGATCTCCAAGGTCTCTTCCAACTCTGTTATTCTGTACTCTGAATAAACTGTTAAGTATTCTAGTCTCTTCTGCTCTAGCAAGGTTAATCCTTCCCCAAATATCTATACAACTTTAGAGAAACCCACAGAAAAAATCTTATACTTAGGGAGTCCAGGATTATGAATGAAGACAAATATACATATCTCAGGATAATGTTGCAAGATCCAATCTGGGTCGGTCCCTGTGGCCAGAACTTTAGTCTTCTGAGCTTTTGGACTCATGCTGGAGCCCATCCTCAGGGAACCTCTCTCTAATGGAATGTTCAGGATTACATTAAGGATTGAAAATCAAGTTTTGATTGTTAAGAAAAGTTAGATATATGTTTAGTTGAAAAGATTCTATGAGAAGACATGGTTTCTTAAAGGGGAAATTTCAACAATGGCTAACAATCATGATTTAATCTTTTCTGAACTAGGAACTGCATGTAACACTACAAATAATTGATTCCTTCCTTATGTTTTACCAGATGACAATTGGCTTGAATATGGCTGAGGCAAGAAATGCATATGCACCAATGGAGCCAAAATTAATATTTTAAACCTCTGTCACCTGAAAGGCTTTCCCCGGCAGATTTCCAACCATTTTCCCTTGAAGTGACTTATTTATTTGCTACCATATGTTGGATTGGGTCGTGCCACAAAAAAGAGACAGTGGCTGCTCAGGCTTNTTTTATTTTTGAATCAACAGCTCAGAGAAGGCTAAAAATTTGCGGACACAACAGCAAAAAAAGGGGGGAACACGTGTATGATCTAGATCAGAGGTGTCAAACTTGGGGCACCCAGGCCAGATGTGTCATGCGCTGGCCACGCCCAGTTTAGCAAAGGGGGGAAAGTCATGATATGTCCGGTGGTGAGTTTCTGCCAGTTTTACTACCAGTTCGCTTCTCGAGCGAAGCAAACGTGTGCACAGTTCAATGTAAATTGTTCTTCCCACATGCGCAGAACAATTTACAGTGAACTTTGCATGCGCGGTCATTAGAAAACAACGACGGCGGTGAGGGAACTGGTTCAGGGGCGTGGTAAGCCTGGGTCGCTGCCAGTTCTTCAACCAAGGCAAAAATACCACTAGCGGTTCAGCCGAACTGGGCCAAACCGGGAGCAAACCACCTCTGCATACGTGATGTGACAACGATGGGACGACGTGGGTTTGACACCCCTGATCTAGATCCTATCTGATATCTCCTGCCTGGATTGACCAACGGATGCGTCTTCCCATAGTTGGGATGCAGAGAGTTGGTGAGGGGACTCTCTTAGTCTCTTCCCCCCTGCCCTCCACCCAGTGTGCTGAAGCTCTAACCAATAACCCCTGGTCTCCATTGTCCTTTTGAGCTGTGCTTCCAAAACTCTGAAGCACGTTCGCCTGTCTCTTTGTTGTATCTTTGTTGGTCCACCACCTGGGTGGACCTTTCAAGGCCTGGCATTTAAACATACATCTTCTTTTATCCAATTTAACTTTAATTAGTACCCCTGTTGAGCATGAGCCTGTGTCTATCAGCTGCGCTCCTTCTGCTATGCCTGCTGCTTCAGCCAGTCCATCTTCTGCTGCTGATGCTGTTGCTACTGCTTCTCACAGTGGTATCCATCGGATGACAATGCTGCCAGCTTCTGCTTCATCTGGGGCTTATGACTCCATCTCGTCCTCCTGCCAAAGGTAAAATGTTGTGCTTGTTTGCTCCATCCAGTTGCTTGGATGTGAGTCCTCCACTAGGAGAATGTATTAATTCAATTCAAGGGGGTATGGGAAGGGGGGGGGAAGCTTCCACATATCAAGGTTAGACATCTTCTAGGGAGCCCTTGAAAACATGCAGGCAATAACCAGGAATGCAAACTTCTGTAAAAAGAAAAAGGAAATTAGGGTAATAAATCCAGTTTTGTTGGGGCTGTTTTAAAACCTCTGCCATTGTATTGTCTTCTTCTGAGTGACTGTCTCAGTTGGGCGACTGAAACTGTGCTTCCCAAAGAATTGTTTTCTGTTTTCGGAAGAGCTCAGGTTGGAGAAGACAAGTCTGTAAACTCATAACTCATAAACCAGCTGCACAATTGCATCACTGCATGGTTAATATTCGAGGGATGTGGTGGCTCAGTGGCTAAGATGCTGAGCTTGTCGATCAAAAAGGTCGGCAGTTCAGCGGTTCGAATTCCTAGCGCCGCATAATTGAGTGAGCTCAAAATGCAAGTAACAGCATTCCATGCGCCTCCGGCGTTTACGTCCTGCTGGCCACATGACCACGGAGATGTCTTCAGACAGTGCTGGGTCTTCAGCTTTGGAATGGAAATGAGCACCACCCCTTAGAGGCGGGAACGACTAGCACATATGTGCGAGGGGAACCTTTACATTTACCTTTTATGGTTAATATTATCACTCTGATCATCTCATATCAGGCCCCATTTTTGCACAAGTCCAGAGGAGTTTTTTTTCCCTGCTCATAATTTTAAAAACTTCACCGGAATAATAATCTAAACTAGGACAATGAATTCCAATGGATCGTATTTCCTTGGAAGGGTGCCAGTGTGATCTGTTGCCAGTGCAAATCAAAGCTTCATTTCTAGAGTACAGAAAGCCAGAAAAATGCACCTATGTTCTTTCATTCTTTCAAGGTACACCAAATCCTCTCTGATGGCAGCTGGATCTTTTCCCAGAAAAATACTTTAAATTGTTATATAATGAATTGATTTAAAAAAAACAGGTTTTTGCAATATTCCAGAGAGTTTGGTAGTACTTTGTTATTACATTAAATATTAATAAATATTAATAAAGAATTCTGTTAGCCATGTGCTGAGTATCTGTGATCTCAATCTCATCTCAGTCCAGAAATTCTCCAGGTAGCCAGAAGTGTGATTCAGCTGGTCCAGACCATTTTGGGTGAACCGGTTGTTAAAATTCTGCGAACCATCTAATCCCACCACTGGCTGGTCCCACCCCCACCCAGTTTGGGGGCATTTTGGGGGCATTTCTGGCTGTTTTCAGGCTGGTTTTGGTCCAAAAAATAGCCAAAAATATGGCCTGGAAAACAGCCCAAAAAGTGGCTGAATAATAGACCAAAAAAGGGCTGAAAGNAAGACTGCTATCATGTCTCCCCTGGTCCTTCTCTTCACTTGACTAGCCATGCCCAGTTCCTGCAACTGTTCTTCATATGCATTAGCCTTTAATACCCTCATCATCCTGGTTACTCTTCTCTACACTTTTTCTAGACTCTCGACATCTTCTTATAGTGTGGTGACCAAAACTGGATGCAGTACTCTAGGTGTGGTCTCACTGGAGCTTTATAGAGTAGCATTAGTACCTCACTTGATCTTGATTTTTGGCTGCCACTGCCCACTTCTGGCTCATATTTAGCTGGCTGTCTACTAAGATTCCAGGATCCTTCTCAGTCACTGCTATAAGCCTATTATTGTATCTGTGATGTTATTCTAGTTCTTGGATTCAGCAATTAATAGTGATTCCTAGTATCAAATATTCATATCAGAGACAGAAAGAGCACATCAAAATACTAGTTATGCACATAATTTAAAATAAAGAATGACTTTGTGGTACTACATAAACTTTTAAGTTATATGCAAAGTATCTATTCATAATCTTAAGAACGACAGGAAAAGGACTAGAGGTTGGAATTTGATTACCCAACTTACAACTTCTTTTTCTTTGAATTTTTTAAATTTTCTTTTAATATAAACATTTCATTGTTCATTAAACAGTGTGTCATCAGGGTACGATTTTTTGTGTCATAACAGTTGTTGTAACATTTCTCTTCTTAACTTACTTAACTTTATAATTCTTTATTTTCATATTTATTCTCTAACCATTGATGAAATAACTCCCATATATTATAATAATCAGATTCTTCCTTTCCTTTAATTGCAAGTGTTAATTATTCATTTCTGCACATTCCAATATTTTCTTGGCAATTTACAACTTCTGGTGGTCTGTTTGCTTTTAAAATCAGGTTAATACAATTAATACAATAGCACAATTGGAAGGGACCTTGGAGGTCTTCTAGTCCAACCCCCTGCCTAGGCAGGAAACCCTATACCATTTCAGACAAATGGCTATCCAACATCTTCTT